AGACATTCTAATTCTGTACATCTGGGGAAGGCCCAGAAAAATGTAGTAACAAGTAACCCGAGTGGTTCTGATGAAGTACACAATAAGTTACTGAGAAAATACATATGTAAGGGACTGAGAACACACTTGGCCATTTCTTTTAATGAAAAGGAGTAAGTGACTCAAAAGGCAAAATTATTGTTTTATGTTTGAGAAACTGAGAGATCTTTCATTTGGTAAAATGATCCTAAACTTTGAGTAAAATTAAGCAAAAAATTACAATGGCAAAATGAATAGGAGTTTATGTTTCTAAAAAGCTAGTCTCTTTTGGCTTTTTGTCTCTCCTAGCTCAAACTCACGACCCTGAGATCATGCTCTACCAACTGAGCCAGCCAGGCGCCCCTCCACACATGTTTTTAATACCTTTTCCCTGTGGACCTCCTGGTCTCTGCCAGTTCTTCCCGGCTTTCTACTTCCATGATTGGCATTACTATTATATCCCAATATCCAGTCCTCTTCTACCTATGATTGCATTTCCCCCAATGCCTTGAAATTAAATCTGGCCGTGACTTGCCTTGGCAAATGAAACGTCAGTGGAAATGACCTATGTAACCAACTCTCCAGCCCACTGTGGTAAGGGGTGACTGGGTAAGCATGTGGTAAATATACAAATGCCATGAGATCAAAACAATCTGGGATTCTGAAGCTGGAGAACAGCTGTCTGGAGAATAGCCAAGATCCACAGTAGACTTTGGGTGAACGCTGGGGTTTGGGGTTGTTTGTAATCGCAGCATGACCTAATCTATCTTGATCAATCTCCCACCTTCACTGGGCTCTCACATGGCTGCTTTGCGGCAATGATTGGCCTTAATCAAGACCCATGTGTGGCCTTCTCTGAAACCACGATTAAAAAACCAGATGATTTTCCAGTAATAAGGTAGAAATTTAAGTATTTCTTAACTTCAAGGATCTCAGATGTAGGTGTCCCTCTGCAGTATTTTGTCTTCTCTTCAGTAAAGATAATCTAGGTGGTAAAGGTAAGTCTTCTCAACCCATTCTGGGTTGCCTCTATCTTAATTTCAGTAAACAGCTATCAGAGGTCATGTCAATAACATCTATGTTCTGGCTCGTACCTCTTCTTGTGAAAAATCCAAAAAGCTTTCATATGTTTGAACGTATTCTGATCTGGGGTACATATGATAGCTATTGCCACCCAAAATTTCGTATGTATTTAGTAAGGAGTAGGATTTATAGAGTCCATTTACATCTTACCTTTTAAATTTCAAAGAAACCCCTTGGAAACAGAACCGGTACTAACTCCATGATGCTCACCATTACCTTGGCCTAAATCCGGGTTTCTAAACCTCAGCACTATTGACATTTTGGGCAGGGTAATTCTTTGCTGTGGAGAGTTGTCCAGTGCATTGTAGATGTTGAACAGCATCCCTGGCCTCTACCCACATCCCTGCCAATAGCACACCCCAGTCATGACAACCAAAAATGTATCTAGACATTGCAAAATCACCCTCATTTGAGAACTACTGGCCTAAAATGAAGGTATATGTTTGTGACAGCTATTGCCAAATGATGACAATTTAAAAAGCTAATTAAGTTTGTAAAAATTATCAAGATCCATATTTAAGAACAGACACAGTGGATATTTTAATGAAAGCAATGGTCCTGCCATTTTTTATTTCTAACAATAATACATATTTACAGAAGGAAAAGAATTGTACATTTTAAATTCTGATCATTATACAGATTTGTTGTTGCCATTGAATAATAAAAGAACGAATCTCTTAGTGACTTTTTCAAAATAACTTCAGTGTTCAAAGGTACAAATGATGATACTGTAAAATTTCAATAGCTGGAGGAAGCTCACTTCAAAATGAAAGACACCTAGCACCAGGAAAAGAAATGAAGCAACATCACTGGAGACAGGATCTCTTAGGAGATCTGATCTGAAGCTATGTTTATCATAGATTCACTATCCAATCTTCAACCTACATTTTAGAAACTTGGGTGAAAAAGTACATGAAGGAAAATCTCCATAGGTTTTTTTTTTTTAATTTTTTATTATTATGTTAATCACCATACATTACATCATTAGTTTTTGATTCTCCATAGGTTTTTGTTGGGTTAGAAGACTTTAGCTTTTAAAGAAAAACAAGTGAATCAGTTTTTCCCTTTATAAGGCCTTGAAAAAAATGCATCTTGAGGCACTATAAAGAAAGTGAGTGAAACTTTTTTGTTAGTAGTCAACAGCTTCAAATACTGGTTTTCATCCTGACCCTCCGTCCCCTGCTTTATTGAGAAATAACTGACACAGATCAGTGTATAAGGTTTAAGGTGTACAGTATGATGGTTTTGTTTATGGTTTTCACTTTTTAAAACAATGAATTATAAATTCCTTTTTATAAAAGGCTAAAGGCACAGTGAAACAATGAATATTTGCACTTCACCCTTTCAGAACTCAAAATAATTCAGATGGCAAAATAATTCGGGCGGCCAGCACCTCATTTGTCCTGTAGGTGGCAAAATTATCCCAAGAGGATTCCAGGGACTGGCTGCAGTATTGCTGCACTGAGGTTAATAGTGGTAGATGACTTTTTAAAGCTTTACTTAAAATCCAGGTTTTCAAGTTTTGAAGTTATTTCAAGTTTTACAGATTTAAAGACGCCTTTTGTGTGGTTCTGAACTAACGAAGATTTACTTGCTGTACTCATGCTCAGAAATATATTGTTTTACCTTTTAGGGACTAGATTTTCAGTCTGATTATCTCTGAAAAATTCCTTTTTGCACTTGTTGTCCAGCAGGTTTTGCTTTATTGGACGACCCATCCAAATTGCAGGACAAGAGCTTGTGAAACTAAAAATCTGTTCTTACTTGTCTGCAGCTGTGAAAAGCAAGCTTGAAACCAGTATCTAAAAGGGAGGTAAGAAGGCCCTCAAGATTTCGTCTGGTTTTACTTTTTTCTAATCTCACAGTGGATGGCAGAATAGTAAGCAAGTCTTTAAAGAATGAATGGATAATTTATTATAAAGAATTGGGGGCACTGTGATTATGACTACATTTATGTGTAAGGAACAAAGTTCATAAATGATGACAATTAAAAAGCTAACTACAGCCAAATATTTTATCCTCAGTTGTTATCACTAGTCTTCATAGCTTCCTTTGCTTGCTTACACTAGAGACGTCATTCTACATCCTGGATTCGTCATTAAAGAGACAGATATGAGAAACAGAGCCATCAGATAACCACTTGCTGCAAGCACTGAATATACAGTTATTTGAAGAACTAAGACTAAATGGGGGATAGAAGGGAGAGAGTATAGTATGTTATACCAGTATTTTGTGGAAATCCTGATATAGTATGACTTTTAAAAACAGAATGGGAAGAGCAAATGAAAAAATTTCAATTGTTTCAGTAATCGTATGGGTCGTGGTCATATTAGCATTGTTATTCTGAGGCTGCTGCATGTGTATGGTAAATAAAGGAAATGAATAATTGTGGGATATTCTAACTCTGTCATGCCTTGTGTCCTTGAAAACCAGGATTCTCAGTATAGAAAATGGAAATACAGTTGTAATAGAAAGGATTAAGTAAAAACTCTGTAGTACTCAATTTGATTTGGAAGTTTCACAATAAACTCACAAAGTGTTTTATCTTATTAAAAAAATAGAGATTTCTAGCTCTCTCCTAGGAACAATGGCCAATGTAATAGCAATGAGCATCCTTAGAGCCTTGATTAGGGTTTTGAAATACCATTTCTCACTAAAAGTAGACAGGCTTCTTAGAGAAATGGCTCATTCCAGGTCTGGGGCAGGAAACACACAAGTTGAGCCTAGAATATCTTGTCTTCTGAGATAGCAAGGAAGCTAATAAAGACAGCTAGTGTAATGTCAAAATGACTCAGAGGCAACTTGGTGAGGCTCCCAAAGGCCAAAGATGGGACAATTTGAACTTCAATAAGGTAATATTTGAAATGGGTTGAAGCCTCTCAAATATGTTTGAACCCATGAGTTCGTAATACCGAAAAAAGGAAGGGATCTCTGGAAGGTAATAGGAAACAAGTTTATTTTCTTGAAAATTAGTACATGAAAGGAAAATAGAAATATTTACCTTCCCTTTCCTGTACAAACTTGACCAGTGGTTAACCAAATAGTACATGTGGGGAAACATCTCTTTATAAAAATGTTCCAGTTAATAAATGAAAGAGAAATGATAGAATTAGAATATCCTCTACCTCACAGTAAATCAATGGATCTAGGTATTGAGTATCAATTTCAGCTGACATCACAAATAGAGAGAACCAGGTATTATGTGCCCTCTGATGAAAGAACACACCATGACCTATAGTCTTGCCAAAAAGGACTGAACCTGAGCCTATTCAAACATCTGGATCCATGTGTCAATATCCAGAGGAAAGAGGAATGTGCTGAATTGCACCATGAGTACACAACCAGCAAAATACAGACTGTGGGAAACTCTATAGGCCATGAGACTAAGTTCTTCAGTAAATTCTAAGGAAAAGAAAGATGGGAGAACCTATAGATTTAAAAGATGTAGCCAATAAAACAATTTTAAATGGATAAGATTAAAATGCAGTGTGTAGAGATACACACTTGGGTAATAATACAGAAATGCCCGGAAGTGATTATAATGGGTATCACTGTAGTGGTTAGTTACTTCTGTGGAATTTGGGGAGATGGTTGATAACTGTGACTGGACACACAGAGGACAACCAGAATGGCTGGCGGAGTTCTAAAACAGTGTTTCCTTATAATGACGTAAAAAGCTACATTTTGTTTGGTTTTCAGTATTTATATTTTGTATTTTTTCTAAAGGAAAAAAGTAAAAAAAAAGCAAAGGCCTTAGGGTTTTCCACTAAAAATTATGGATGTGAACACTTCTACTATAAATACCAGCTGAAGGTTCTTAAGAAAACTGCCTATATTATAGAAATATTTCTAAATAATAAGCTACAAATATTTGAAAAATATAATATTAAATTCTTATTGTGCATAGTTGTAAAAAGTCAAAGAATTAAGTATACATTCCTAACACAAAATTTATTTTGTTACAGTATTATGTTTTACAATTTGGTTAAGTGGACTTTGTTGACTTCCAAAATTTTCCTCCCTACTCCAATACAAGGCTACTCATATTATTCTATTAGAGATTAGATGAGCACTACAACAGATTTCATATTTCCTTGAATGTCCACACTTGGTTTCACTCTCCATCTTTTTAGATAGAACAAAGATTAGTTATCTTGCTCAACCATGATAGTAGTTATTAATATGTAGCATTACACATAGTATCATCCAATTCGCAAATAAAGATCCTTCACCCACATATCCTGCCTTATGTCCTCTTCCATATATTAATGGCTGATGGAGACTATTTTTTGTTGTTAAGTGTCTAAAAACCTCAAGAACGTAAAACAGATTTAAGCCATCAAAATGAAAGCAGTTTTAAAACGCAATATAACAATAAACATGGACAAACGTGTAGCAGTGTTGTACATTTTTGCCCACGGAACCTTGACAATCCCCCTCCAATTGTTCAAGCAGCATCTTAACAAATGGTGCAATTCTATGGTCTCCTTCCCTTTCCTCTAAATTAAATTATGTGGTGTTTGAGTGATTCACATATTCCAGAAGTGACCGGTCTAAGACCCTTCGGATAAGAGCTTCCTCAATTATATTAAAATCCTACAATAAAGAAAAATAATTAGAAACATATGATCAGAGATGACAGTTTTCAGCAACTGGAGGAAACGGGTCAAGGCAGTGCCCCATTTTGCAGGAAAGTAGAGCCCTGAATTTAGTGACCTAAGTTTCCACAAAAACTGTCATAAACCCCAGGACTTCTGTTTTGGGGCTAGTGCATTTTCTATTTAATTTTACTGCCTAACAATTAACTAGTTATTGTCATAGTAAAATAGTCTTGATTCGGAATTTAAATTAGTAATTTTAGCCAACCTTATAAATCGTGGTGAGGGTGCTATGTTCCAAATAAACATGTAATATGGATTAAAGTCAAGCATTCCCCTAGAAATCACCAATCTCAGAGTACTACTGAGTATCCATTTCTGAAAAATATGTTGAACACAAAACTCTCTTTCTCCCTGCCTCCCTATGGTCAAAATGACTTTCAAAACTTTAAGTCAGCACATTCTGTAAATAAAACAAAAACGATTAAGAGCTCTATTCTCTGCAATCCATCTCCTCTTCTGCAATAAATCGAAAAAAAAAAAAAGTAAAGTCTCTTGGAAATCCATTCTAAAACATAAAAGCATAAAGGCAAATCAACAAAATCCAAAGGAAAGCCATAAAGCCCAGAAGAGCACAAGATCTGGACTGAATCCTGGCTTTTTCTTTGGCAATTTATTAACCTTTGAGCTTCAGGTGTTTCATAGCTAAGTGAGGATAGTAACACAACAGTCACTTCACAGAAGTTGCTGTAGGAATAAAATGAGGAAAATCTTGAGAAGAATGGACTGAACATGAACAGCCAGGACAGATATGAAACCAACCTGGTTTTTAGAACATCTTATGGAGCTAGGGTAAAGAGGAAGCCCTATGTGTTGTAAAAAATTGAGAACACAGAGACCAGAACCAGCCTCTGTTGAGGCCCTGTGTGCTTTAGGGGGCCAGAAAAGACATTATTTGAGTGTTGGAGCCCGCTCAACTCTTCAAGTGGTCCTAGTACCTCCGTTTATCCTCTCCCCATCTCCAGATGGCCTAACATCCTTGCCCAAACTGTGCAAATCACTTTACACGCACTATTGCATTTAATCCTCAACAAGAGCTTTGGGCAGGAAGTGCTTTTAATCTCCTCACTTAACACAGGAACAGACAGGCTCAGTGGTTAAATACCTTGCCCACAGTCACAGAGCTGTGACTGAGACAGAGCTGTTACTCAAACCCAGGTCAGAACCCAAGCTCCTTGTGTTCAATCTGGATAACCACAGTGGGCAGATCAGAAAGCAGGGAGAACATTTTCAAGGGACGATCCTCAACAATTATTAATTTCTATCTTGAAATTGCATAAAAAGACAGCAGTCAAAAATCATGTGAAAATTATATGCAAAGTTAAATTTAGCCCTTAACATTTCATGTATTTAGATAGCGGTAATAATAAAATATACTACTTCACAACATGGCTATGAGGGATTTTCCTTCCATAATAGGCAATAGCCCTTTGCTCAAAGGGACTCAGGAGATAACACATTACCCTCACATGGCAACACATGGAGCAAAGCAGAACAAAGGCTACATTAACTTTTCGCTTGTTATTCTCATTCCTGATCATGGGAAATACAGTCATAAGTTAGAACTATTCATACCACATCTAACTTTTCTTCCATCCCCCCCCCCCCAAAAAATTATTGGGTTGTGGGAGGGGGAATGGGAGGAAGGAGATCAAAAGGTACAAACTTCTCCTTATAAGTTAATTAAATACTGGGGATATAATGTACAACATGAAGACTACAGTTAACACTAATGTATGGTATATTTGAAAGCTGATAAGAGTAAATCCAAAAGTTCTCATCACAAAAAAAATTTTTTTGGTATCTATAGGAGACGATGGATGTTAACTAAAATTATTGTGGTGATCATGTCACACTATATAAGTCAAGTCATTATACTGTATACCTTAAACTTACACAGTGCTACATGTCAATTATTTCTCAATAAAACGGAAAAAAAATACTTAATATAATGAGATTGGCCATTAGTTGGTAGTTATTGATGAGTAGTTACTGATAATATGGAGGTCCATGGTAGTGTTTTGTCTGCTTTTGTATATGTTTATAATTTTTCATAATACAATTTTTTCAGTTTAAAAACATGCAATAGACATGAGTTTTGGTCTCATGGAGTTTAAATGAAACATGAGGCCTGTGTGTCTTACTACATGAATGTGTTGTAATAGCAACGGATGCAGAACAAACTCTGGGCCATTTCATCACTGATGTGATTTCATCTCATTTCAGCTACATAAGTTTTCAACTTCATAAAAATTAAAACTATATATAGGGAGGGGACTAGAGTAGAAATTAAAATAATTCGAAAGTGAAATCTAGTACCTTATACAATGACAATCTAGATCACAAAATCATTTTGTCTAAGGCAGATAATATCAATAGTCAGGTTTATAAACATTATATTTTTGTAATTTCCTACTTAATGCTGATACTTAACTTCAGGTCCATACACATTTTTTTCTGCTATAATTTTATTCGCTTGGATTTAAAAAGGTAAGCTTAACACACGCCACATAGAAACATAATGTAAAAGTAAAAAAATATACTTACTATGAAATCATCATAAAACAAAGTGTGACTGACTTGCAAATGTCTTATTAAACTGCCACTAAAGCTTCCTGGATTCTCATTAGGTAGTAAACGGCAAAGTGGACAGAACTGGAAATAAAAAAAATCAGGAGTTCAAGAAAGAATTTAAAATAATCAGTGTCAGAATTAAAAAATTAAATAACCATTCAACAAGTGAATTTTAACTTTATGAATCTATTGGCCATTCCTCAGCATAATATTTAAAAACTGCATAAATATTAACCAAATAAAATTGCATTTATTTCTTCATATGCATTTCCTGTACTTAACAGTATAGCTATTTATTTCATATTTATCAATCTATTATTTAAACAATATTGCAGTTAGTAGATGTAGCATAATTTATTTAATCAGTCGCCTCCCTCTTGAAATACTTAATGGCTTTAAAAAATAACCTTTTTCATTTTCAAGTTTTATAAACTCATGAGAAATTACAAAAATAATGCAAGAGGTCCCATGACTCCATCATCCAGCTTCCCCCGTGGTAATACCTTATAACTGCAGTACATTATCGAAACCAAGAAATTGGCAATTAACTAGACTACAAGCCTTACTTAGATTTCACCAGTTTTTGCATGAACTCAGTTTTTTGGGTTTCTGTGTAACATATACCCCTAAAGTAGTATATGATAAAGAGTCGGGGCACCTGGTGGCTCAGTTGGTTAACCGTCTGCCTTCAGCTCAGGTCATGATCTCAGGGTCCTGGGATCGAGCCCCATGTTGGGCTCCTTGCTTGGTGGGGAGTCTGCTTCTCCCTCTTCCTCTCCCTTTGCCCCTACCCCCAATGCACGTGTGCTCTCCCTCTCAAATAAAATCTTTAAAAAACAATACACTACTTTATTACATTTTTTTTTACTGCTTTATTATAATTTACCCTAGGGTTTTTTAAAATTCTATTTCTTCACATTTTCATTTTTTAAAATATGAGATGCAGAATCATTACTGAGGGCCAGGTATGTGTTAGGCATTAAATTAGGTAGTATTCTTATTTGATCCTCACAACAACCTAGTGAATAAATTATTGTCCTGTTTCTTTCATGAACTCAATTTCAGAAAGGAAAAAAAATTAGCTTAAATTTATACCACTGTAAGTATCAGAACTGGGATCTAGGCCTCCTAATAGATAATTCGATATTCTTTTCATATTATAACAGTGCTTAATTTATCTGTTTGGATGGGAACATCTTGCTTTAAATTTAAATGAGGTCTTTATGGTAATTCTTATTGTTTTAGGGGGGGTCTCAGTTTCAGTATGCTCAATATCTATACATAGTTTAACTTCTGAATTTTGCTCTAGTCCACTATTATGTGTCTTATTTTTAATAAAATTACATCATTTCAGTTATTATCGCTTTATCGTCATTTATGATTTTCTAATGCTCTAGCTATCTTGGTTACTTGGCAACACTGGCTATCCCAAGATAGACCCCTATGTAGTAATGAGAACACAGCTGAGACCAAGAAATACTTTAACAAAAAAGCAACATTAATTTTTTTGTTATGTGAAAGAAGGGACACTAGTTATAGAAATTTGTTCACTCAGTACTCTTTATAGTACCCCTACTACGTGTTGGGCACCTGGAATATGCAAACCAGTGAAGATACAGTTGTGTTGCATGGCCTGTGAAGTCGGGGAGCTTTCAAATCCCAGCACCAGCTCTGCCGAGCTGTGTGACTGACCTTCAGCACATGAACTTCCCTCTTCGGTCAAGTGGAGATACCACCACCTAACTTGTAGAGTAGCTATGACGTTTAGAGAGAATGTCCTCCATGTGCCAGGTACATATTAGGCATTTAATAAACACCATGTATTTACTACTATTTGATCCTTGTTCGTGAATAGTTGGAGCTCCATGAGGAAGAAACTCCATGTGTCCTGTTCGCTCCTGCATGCCCAAGTACCTGGAAAATAGTTTCCAATTTCATCTCTGCCTCTCACTGACTTAGCCTTGGCAAGTAATTAATCTTATCCTATAAAATGAGAATTAGCTCATTTGCAGAGCTGCTTGTATATTTAAAAGGTGTCATTTAACATTATGAAGCTCAGTCATTATACTAGCTCAGTCCTTGGCACAAATGGTTGCTATTGTTATCACGTAAGCAGATACTTTCAATACTGCAAAGCAAGTGCTATTCCCAAGATGTTACACCATATAGTCAAGTGTTATACTCAGAAAGGCAGTTCAAGACCTAAAAAGGAAATCATTAATTTTGCCCAGGAAATCAGGAGAGGCTTCAGCCAAGCTGCCGGTAACTGAAATGAGTCTTGAAGAAGGCACCAGCAATGCCAGAGTGAGGAGCATCACAGGCAGAGAAATCAATGCACAAAGGACAGGCCTGCTTAGGGAATGGGAAAAGCTCTGGGAAGCTGAAGGTAGGGCATGTTGAGGGAAGTGGTAGGAGATGAGTTTGGAAGGGTTAAGTTGGGACCAGTTCTGCTCAACAGATATTTATTTGAGCACCTATTATGGTTTCTGTAGGCCCCATGTCAAGAGTCAGAGGTATAGAGAGGCTAAGCCCTGACCCAACTATGAAGGAGATTCCAGATCTAGCGAAGGAGAAAGATACAGAAAACCTGGAACTTTAAGCAAAGTAGTTTTTGTTTTTAGTCTGATGTTGATAGGAGCTAGTGGAGACTTCGGTCTTCTGCTGTACATATTTAGTTGTGTAACTCAAGAGATTTCTTCCAGAAGGACATTGGAAAACAACAGGTGAACATCTATACTACTTTAAGGATTTATTTTGTGTCCTAAAGTGAGGGATCTGACCTGAGGGAGGAGAGGGTAAGAATAGGAAGGAGAAAGAAATGCTAAGAGGCTGACTAATCATCGCCAAGTACCTAAGTGTTCACCTATACTCTCACTAACGTTGCCAATTTGCTAACATCAGCTCATCCTTTATTATGCACCTCCACTCAATGCTCCCAGGCCATGATACTCATATTAGGAATCAATCAATGCACAGTGTATATTCCAAAGATGCTGACCTCATCTCAGTATGGACTTTATCTGATGGTGAACTCCACAGGCGAAAACAAGCCACCATATCAGAAGTTACCACCAACTTCAATCCTTCAGAACACCTATTACAAGGGACACCCAGTTCTATCTGTGGTTTAGATTAACCTCCACAGCAACCATCTGATGGCAAGTGCCATTTGGGAAAGAAATTTAAAATTCCTGAATCCAAAAAAAGAGAAAAGAGACATGCACTGAAAATAATTACAGGCAAAAATGTAACCAAAATTAAGGTACCAGATTGCACATCTAATTTAGCAAGAGTCTGAAAGCAAATTTAATAAAGACTTTTTTCTTCCTTCCAAAACATTTATGCACATACACTCCCACTGCCCAGTCGAGTCACAGATATTCTAAATACCCACAGAAATAAACCACTGTGGGGCAGGTGGCGTAGGCTCTAGTCACCACAGTTTATGTTCCAAAACAATAAAAGTCCTGTCCCTTCCCTTAAGGAATGAATCTCGGAAGCAAGGCAGAAAATAAGAGACTACTGGAACCTTTGAATCTGGGTGAATGGAATTATGTTTTCCTTTAATATCTTATTTTTCATAATCACTATATCCTCCTATGCGCTAGGTTCTCTGCCAAGAGGTGGGCAGGCAGTGTTGAACAAAGAAGTTCCATGACTTCGTGAGCCTGGTACCTTACAGGGAGAGACAGCCCTGAAACGAACACACAATTACAAATGGTGATAAATGAGAAAAAAAGAGGGGAGGAAAGCAAGAGCTGAAAGTAATTTGGATGTCAGAGAGGGATTCCCTGAGGAAGAAAGATTTAAGCAGAGTTCTAAAGGATAAATATGAGCCAACCACTGAAAGAAAGAGCACTCTGGGCAGAGAGAATAGCCAGAAAGTGTGGCTTTTGCTGAAACATCTTCCTTTTCCAAAACAAAATACCAAATTTCTCTCAAAAGCGGTCTCTCAATTCAATCTGAAGCATGCTGCTTATGTCACTGGACTCCTTTGAGTTTAATATTCCACAGAGGCAAATTTTCAAAAAATAAAACATGGCAGGGGCGCCTGGGTGGCTCAGTTGGTTAAGGCTCCAACTCCCAATTTCAGCTCAGGTCATGATCTCAGGATCTTGGGACCAAGCCCCGTGTTGTGTAGGCTCGGAGCTCAGGGAGAAGTCTGCTTCTCTGCCTCTCTCTCCTCCCTCTCCCTCTGCCTGCCCCTCCCCCCTGCTCCCACAAGTGCTCTCTCTCTCTAAAATAAAAAATACAACATGGCAGAATATAATTACTATGTGACAAAAAGGAGCTGTCGGTTCTTGAAGCTGCATGTAAGAAAAGTCATAATTTCTTGATGTTCTTAATCTACTACCCCAGTCTTGAGCAACTCAGAAAGAAAAGATTAGTGGCTTGTGATTCGATTTCTGAATTATCTAATTTTATCTAGAAGGCAGAATCATTTGCTCAAATCTCTAACTGCCATGAAACTTCTTACACCAGATTAAGTCAGATGAGGTCACTGATCTTATCTGTAAGCAAACCCAACAACCCAGCCCCTCAAAGCAATAATTCCTTGCTAACTTCCACACCAACCCAGAATCAGCCTTGGACTTAGGACTTCTCCTGGGGTATTTTCAACAGCATGCCCCCACTGGGGATTCCTAAGCATGTGAACCCCAAATATGCCACAGTATCTACTTCCTGCCATTTCATAACCAAAGCGTATATCCTGAATTCCAGTGGTTCTAGATCCTTCAGAGTGACACATGGCTCGAGTTTCTACTCAAGCATGAAACATTAACAGGAAAACTGAAGGTCTTCTGCTCTAGAGACCACCTCTAGACAGCCCTCATGTATTACAGAACCACGGATTTTGTGAACAATCTGCTCCTGCCTCAAGGCCACGATAGCATCCTGGTCTTTGGAAATTCACCACTTCACTCCCCAACCCTTCCGGCTTGGGTTCCCCAACTGTGAGAGTACATGGCTTCCTCAAAATCTTCACTAGCCTTGGTTTTATGTAGTTGCAAAAGTGGTAGTAGCCCACCATTATCACCTGACTCATTTACTGCTACCTTGTGAAAATAGGATCATTATTATCATCCCCATTTTACAAATGCTGAAACAGAGGCAAAGACATTAGTGGGATTTGCTGGGATTGGTACCAAAGTTCATCTCCTCCAAAGCCTAGGTTTTTGACTATTAATTCTATGGGCAATCTGATCCCACCATTCCTGGTTTATTTCTGCCCTTAGATCCACTTTCTTCAGTTCCTTCTATTACCTCTAAATCAAGGAAGACCTAGCTTCCACGAGCTACCTTCAATCTGATGGCCAAACTGAGCAGCATGGGGACTGGATTTCTGCTGAAGCAGAGACACAGTACCAGTGGACAGACCAGTACATGACCTGCCCCAGAATGCTGCTATGATGCAGCCCAAGACCATAGTCCAAAGCACCTGGTGTTCCTCCAGCCAGAGCAGCACCTGGGTACTGTGGTTAGGGCTCAGGTTGTATGGATAATACCCTCTTACGGTTGCTAGGAGACAAAGAAGCACTTAGAACTGGGTAAATGGTCGCTACTATTATGCCATCCTAACTCTTCCTTCTAACTTCCTCTAGCTCCCCAGGGACCTAATATAAAACAGCTCCATAGCCCAGTTCCTCCCACAGAACAACTAGAGCAGTAAAGGCCCATGATAATCTCCCCTGCTCTCCCAACACATATCAAGCCATTCCAAGAACCAAAACCCCTAAACCATTAGGATCAATAACAAATACTTTGACTCTACTGTGTGGCTTCTCTTGTGAACCTGCTTGTAGAGCACAGGGGTCCACCATGCTCTGGAGCCAGACTATTGTGTTCAAATTGTGGCTCAGCTACTTAACAGCTGGTGACCTTACAAGACTTGGGTAACCTCGCTGAGCCTCAATTTATTATTTGTATAATGGAAGTGATCACACCTATCTTCTATGATTGTTGTAAGAATTATCCTTGTTTGTAAATATCTATCATCTATCTATTCAATATAACTACGTTTCAATCTCATCACTTTCCAAGAGGATTTTATAGAAAAAAAAAAAAATCTTAAAACTCAAATTTAAAAAACCAAAACTCCTGGGGCTGCCTGGGTGGCTCAGTCGGTTAAGCGTCTGCCTTCAGCTCAGGTCATGATCCCAGGGTCCTCGGATCGAGCCCCGCATCGGGCTCCTGGCTCAGCAGGGAGCCTGCTTCTCCCTCTGTCTCTGCCTCTCCCCCTGCTCATGCTCTCTCTCTCTCTCTATCTCTGTGTCTCAAATGAATAAATAAAATCTTAAAACAAAACAAAACAAAAAAAACACACCAAAACTCCTATCTATATAAATGACACGCATACACATATATTTGTGTATATAAATATATACACACATATACATACATATATAAAAATATATACATATACATATTTATACCATAAAACGAAAATAAAATTCAGAACAATCTTCAAGGTATCATTTTATATCTGCTAAGCCTCTTACTTTAATTTTAAAATAAATGCACCCAATATTAGCCAGGTTAAGGTGAAAGTGGTTTACTCCTAAATTACGGACACAAATATAAATTGACTTAACCTTTTTGGAATGCATTTAGAAGTATATTTCAAGAGCTATTAAAAAGTTTGCACTGGGCGCCTGGGTGGCTCAGTCGTTGAGCGTCTGCCTTCGGCTCAGGTCATGATCCCAGGGCCCTGGGATCTAGCCCCGCATCGGGCTCCCTGCTCCACGGGAAGCCTGCTTCTCCCTCTCCCACTCCCCCTGCTTGTGTTCCCTCTCTCGCTGTGTCTCTGTCAAATAAATAAATAAAATCTTTAAAAAAAAAGTTTGCACTTTTTGGTCCCAGAAGATAAATCTAAGGAATTTCCTCTTAGGAAAAAATCCAATAGAAGGAAAAGTTCAAATGTACAATATGAATTCAAATCCTAAAATTGGTAACAAGTGTACAAAAAATAGTAAAATGGCTAAGTAAATGAGGATGTACCCAGCACCACCCTGCTTTCCCTCACAACTATACAAAAATGAAAATTATCAAAGCCACATGGCAAAGTAGAACTAAAATGCCAGGCTGAAAAGAATAAAAAAAAGGAAGCATCACAATGAACCTAGGAAATGATGAGCAATATGTGTATTTAATGTGCAAGCATATGGATAAATACTCAGACTATGAAATAAACAATAGAATGAATAAGATGAATAACTTTCTACTTTTCATTTCTAGTAAATTGTCATGATAACCCTATTTGCATTATTAAAAAATGTTTTTTACTTAGGATGTGACCACAGTTAGTATGCTAGAGTTGGATCTTAGCTATGTGTTTTGGATCTTCTTAGTTGATTATGCCCATAATTATGTGTAAGAGAGAATGTCTAAGCTCATGAATGAAAGAATGCACATTAGTAATTCTTACCACTTTCAATTCAACACTTTCACATATTGTTAATAGTCACGGAATTATCACAACCTTGACATAAACTATCCTTTATAATATATCTATAAATAGAAGCCTATTAAATGGATTTCTAGTGTATATTAAATGCAGACACTGCAGAAATAGTAACAAAATTGCTTACCACAGACCTCCTTTCTGATCTGTGGTGAGTAATGCAGTGATCCAGCAAGCTGTCTTCATCCAATTCCCTCTGACAAAATGGACACACACACCTGGAAATTGCATAGAATACAAAAATTACTAAAGTTGTTGGCATTTAACTAGAGGTAAAAAATAGAATGTAGGCGGATCTAGTTCCCAGCCCTCGTTTTTCCTGATTTGACATTATTTTTCCATCCTGATAATGGTCAGATGAGAAAGTAAGTATCCTCATAGGGATACGACAGAGAAAAGTAAGTATCCTCATAGGGACACGGCAGAGAAACAGTTATATATAATGAACACGAAGCACTTTATTCTCTTTGGAAAAGAAGTGCAATCTGAGCACCCATTAACTGAGAAACTGGGGGATCACATCACCCAGCTATCCCTGGGTTACTTTTTCCTGTTTCTTTTTCTTCCCCGCTTTCCTAATTCAGGTCCCATAACTGGGTGTTACTTGTTCTCCAACTCCACCACCATATGTAACTACTGGTATACCTAAGGAGTATTTGTCCCTTATTTTGTGCTGTCCACTACAGGAGCTAGGAGCCATATATGTCTACTGGCACTTGGAACGTGGCTATTGAAATTGAGTTATGCTGGAAGTACAAAATGCACACTGGGTTTCAAAGGCTTAAAATTTAAAAAAAAAGTGAAATATCTCAATAATGTTGATATCGATTACATGTTCAAATAATAATATTTAAGCTGGCTTCAGTTAAATAAAATATACTAAAAATTAATTTCACTGTTTCTTTTTACTTTTTTAGTGTGGCTATGAGAAAATATAAAATTACCTATGTCTTCTATTGGACAGTGCTGCCCTTAAACTCATAGGGACAATATGGAGGCTTTTTGCTCCATATTTTGCTCACTTTCTTTTTTTTTTTTTTAATTTATTTGACAGAGAGAGAGAGAGCGAGAGGGGGAACACAAGCAGGGGGAGTGAGAGAGGGAGAAGTAGGCCTCCTGCCGAGCGGGGAGCCCAATGCGGGGCTTGATCCCAGGACCCTGAGATCATGACCTGAGCTGAAGGCAGTTGCTTAACCAACTGAGCCACCCAGGCACCCCTTTTGCTCACTTTCTATCATAGATACAACTTCCTGTTCCCTGACACTTGTACTCCAGATAAGCTCCCTGTATAAGAATTTTAAAAATTTCAATTATGTAGTAATAAGTTCTTTTATAAAGCAAAGATTTCTATCTTAAATGCAAATATCAATCTATCCTGTAAGACTGATTAATCAACAACCCTCTTCATTTTGTTATTTTCATTCTTTATTATTTAATTCTAATTATTTAATTTAAATTAGCTCGCATATATTTTTAAATTTTCATAAAGCCTATCAACCTTGCAGTCAAACCCATACCTTTTCTTAACCCATTTATTATCCTTCCTTCTTATTGGTCCTTGCAGCCAATCTAACAGAATTCATACTCTGCTTTGAGCTAAAATCCTCATTTAAAATTTGTAACATCAAGGTATAAAACTAATCCTACAATAATGGATACATTTGCAAAGCAATATCTAGTAAAACAAAAGGAAGCAGGGCAATCATTTAGACTTTCAGGTTAGGAAATTTAAGCTTTGAGTGTATTTTCTTAAAATAAGTAAGACTAACATTTTCCTTCAGGATAGAGAAAAAATATCACACTCTTACGGAATACCACTAATGGTTTCCAAGCCATTAGCCTATGCAGGGAAACACAAATCATTTCCTTATTTTGTTGGGAGGGAGAGACTCCAAACTTTGTAATTACAGGATAGGTCATGCCCAGATTCATTTCATTTTTTTTTTTTTTTTTTAGGGAACAACAAATAATGGTCAATATTCTCCATTGCCCCTACTACTACCTCCACCCTTCCTCCAGCCCCATAAAATATTACCCACCAAAAATGTATCGGGTTTAGGATGCCTGGCCCAGGCCTGTTCTTCCTTGTTAGACTATATACTGAGATGTCACTTCCTACCTTCTAAAGCCAAACCAGCAAAACCAGAGGAAATGAGCTGGGGCACTGAGCAGTGGCAGTAGAAGGGTGAAAAAGAAGAGGCTCTGAACCAGGACTTACTTCAAGCCATTAGCCAGAAAGCAGAGCCTTGCAGAACTTGAACAGTTCCACATTCTATTTTTGGATGTTCCTTAATACAAACTTGTCTGGGCAAGTTCTCCCAATCTCTCCAATACTCGGTTCCCCTTATGCAACGTTTTTCAAGTAGAGAAAGCAAAATTCTTTCATAATTATTGCCATTAACAAATGACTACCAATAAATAGGTGTTATGGTTCAGAGCCTGAACAGAACTCCATACATATTTTCACAATAAGAAGGTTAACCTTTCCAGCCTATTAACTTCTTTACAGGCATATCAAGTTTAACATTCAATTACATTGTGTCGAAACAAACCTGGTTGCCGTCTCCCCAAGTTCCTGCAGCGGTCCATACTTATCTATATACTTCTCACAAGATCTTATGTGTGCCCTCATTTCGCTGAGGCAAACCTATATAAAAGCAAATTCAAAATAAAGTCCCTGTTGAAAAGGGGCTCAATGAAGTCTTACGTGATCCAGCTTTATTACTTTCATTATTGCAAATAAGGTCATAGCAATGGGTCAGCTGATTAAAAGGATGTATTCATGACAAGAGTACAACAAAGTTAAGGCATTATCAAGAATAACACTTTACAAATGTCTCTAATACTTAGAAGACACAAATGTTGAGTTCTTGAGTTTGTTCTTCTAGAAAGCATATATTTTTTATTTTACTTTTATTTTTTAAATATTTATTTACTTATTTATTTGAGAGAGAGAGAGAGCACACACACGCGCGAGTGAGTAAGGGGAAGGGCAAAGGGAGAGGAGAGAGAATCCTCAAGCTGACTCCATGCTGAGTGCAGAGCCTGATGCAGGACTAGATTCTAGGACCCTGAGATCATGACCTGAGCCAAAATCACGAGTCAGATGCTTAACCGACTGAGCCACCCAGGCACCCCTAGAAAGCGTATGTTTTTTTTAAGTGGAAAGACGGGGTGCGTGGGTGGCTCAGTCATTGGGCGTCTGCCTTTGGCTCAGGTCATGATCCCAGGGTGCTGGGATCGAGTCCTGCGTTGAGCTCCCTGCTCAGCGGGGAGCCTGCTTCTCCCTCTCCCTCTGCCCCTCCCCTCTGCTTGTGCTCTCTTCAAATAAAGAAATAAAATCTTTAACAACAACAACAACAAATAAAGTGGAAAGACATATTAACTCAAATTTACTTTTTTTGGACACCATTACCTAACCTGGTGATGGTAAGAAGTGAGAAAGATAAACAGGAGAGGAAAGAGCGCAAGCAAGATGGAGGGGGAAAAAAAAACGTGAGAAGAAACAGAGGGAAAGGAAAACAAGAGAGATAAAAAGAACCAATAGATGGATTTTAATTTTAAAGATGGCCATAGTAAGTAAAAGGAAATCCTGTGCCTCAGGGAAAGATATAAATACCATGGTTTTATAATATATCCAGCAGTATTAAATGAATCCACAATACACAGTATACTTAATGGCCCCATTAAGAGCAAACATAAAAGACAGCTCTTAACAGTCCATTTTTACCAAGGCAGAATAAAGAGCCCTTGTTCCTCAGGATATACATTCAGAGATCCTAACCATGAGGGATCTGTGGCTAAATAACACATATGCTACTAAATGTTTCATTAGAAACTCTGATAAGATCTTGCTAAAGGAAGCTTTGTATAGCTGTGGTAAGGTGGTCGACCCACGCTGCTTCGTTTTGCTCAAGCTACGGAAGTTAGACCTCAAACATGAAATCTACCCGGTCAAGGAAACTGTTATGATTGCTTAACAAAGGACAAAAATAAAAGCAAGTGGAAAAGTGAAAACAAATCCGTTTTACCAATATCCACCTAGGACTCATCGAGGTAGCTGTCTTAAAACACACTGTTTTCCCAAGCTTTCCTATCCAACTTTGCACATCAATTCTCTCACATCTCTTTATTACTTTTCTTAAAAGTTTCTTTCTTCCTCTTTGTATTCCTTGAACAACAAAGATAAGCATTCTTTTTCTTTTTTCTGAAGATTTTATTTATTTATTTGACAGAGAGAGAGACACAGCGAGAGAGGGAACACAAGCAGGGGGAGTGGGAGAGGGAGAACAGGCTTCCCGCTGAGCAGGGAGCCTAATGTGGGGCTCGATCCCAGCACCCTGGGATCATGACCTGAGCCGAAGGCAGACGCTTAACAACTGAGCCACCCAGGTGCCCCAAAGATAAGCATTCTTGATACAAATTAGAAATCTGGGAACTGTATACTGACAAATGAATTGATAAATTCATGGAGTGTCTAGACACAAAATTATGTAAGACACTGTGAGAGATGGCAGAAGAAACATAAGCCACTGTGCTTGCTCTAAAGGTTCTTATCATCTAACAGAGGGGGGAAAAAACCACACCTGGACAAGTAGATATGAAACTGCGATACTAAGGCCAGGCCTCGTGGAATGGAGATCTGGCTGGGACTCTGAAGAATAAGACTCTCCTTATTCCTGGAGGATATGGCAATATTCCTGGCAAGAGGAATAACATAAAAAGGAAGAGACAGATATAAGAAATACCTCAAAGGAAAAATCAAAATATTTGTGAATGATCAGGGTTAAAAAAGGAAGGGGATTTCTAGCCAGGACAATTGAGAGAATGTTCTCGTTTCTGACAGACACCAAAGGTGGGGTAAAAAAAAAAAAAACTGGATGACAGAATACTAGGGTGAGTTTGATTTTGTGCATGTTGAATTTTATATGATGACAAAAAATATCAAAGTAAAAATAAGTAATAATCTATTATTAGGAATGTAAAAAGCTATTATTCTGAGCATTTGCCATGTTCCAGACAGTGCCAAAAGCCATATGTATTTTATCATTTTCCCTTACAATTATTCACCATTCTGTGACATGAATGCTATCTTTTTCCTCATTTTACAAAAACATGAACAAAAACTTAGATAATAACGTCCCCACATCACAAATAATGAGTGAGAGAATTCACATGTAATCCCAGGAAGTCTGACTCCAAAGACCATGCATAAATTTTGTAGTCAGACAGCCATGAGTAGCTTATTGAGTCTTAAATATTCAAAAAATATATTAAGCACTAACTATGTGCCAGTCACTTCAAAGTGCTGGGTACACACACAGTTGCCAATAAAACAGACATAGTCCTTAACCTGACAGAACTTAACTCTGGTGGGGATAATTGACATACATTTAAAAATCACAAAAGCAGGGCGCCTGGGTGGCTCAGTTGGTTGAGCGACTGCCTTCAGCTCAGGTCATGATCCTGGAGTGCTCGGCGGGGAGTCTGCTTCTCCCTCTGACCCTCCCCCATCTCATGTGCTCTCTCTCTCTCATTCTCTCTCTCAAATAAATAAAATCTTTTAAAAAAATCACAAAAGCATAATTCCAAACGGTGATAAATAGTACAAAGAGAAAGCACAGGGTACTCAGAAAGCATAACAGGCTGTAATGTAGATTAACAATCAAGAAAGGTTCTCTAAAAAAATTCAGACCCTTAACACATAATCTCTCCTTTGATTACTCTGGACTCTGTATAATAGTATCTTCCCCTTAGCAGTTCAAACGTTAACATATTTATTTATTTATTTTCTTAAGATTTTATTTATTTATTCATGAGAGACGGAGAGAGAGAGGAGACAGAGAGGCAGAGGGAGAAGCAGGCTCCCAAGGAGCAGGGAGCCCGATGCGGGACTCGATCCCAGGACCCTGTGGGGACCTGAGCCGAAGGCAGACGCCTAACCATCTGAGCCACCCAGGCGCCCAAACGTTAACATATTTAAAACTTTGTGGATTCTTCTCCAAATCCGCTCCCCGTATCAGCACCTTCGCCTACACCTACACACGTCAGAAACCCAGGAGGTATTTTTGACACTTTATACTCTCATTCAGCTCCACATCCAGTCTGTTACCAATTTCCTTCAATTCGCTCTCCTAAGTGCCCCTTGAAACAACCTCTTTTTTTTTTAATTTTTTTTTTAAAGATTTTTTATTTATTTATTTGAGAGAGAGAGAGAATGAGAGATAGAGAGCATGAGAGGGAAAAGGGTCAGAGGGAGAAGCAGACTCCCTGCTGAGCAGGGAGCCCGATGTGGGACTCGATCCTGGGACTCCAGGGTCATGACCTGAGCCGAAGGCAGTCGCTTAACCGACTGAGCCACCCAGGCGCCCTTGAAACAACCTCTTATTCCCTGTCTAACGCTGTCACCCTAATCCAGCTTCCTTACCTGACCCATCCCAATAGCCACTGAATTGGCTCCACCAACCCTGCTCTAGCCCCCTCCGAGCCATTCTCCACTCACATGAGAGAGCAGTTATCTTAAAAACATAAACCCGATCTGGGGCGCCTGGGTGGCTTAGATGGTTAAGCATCTGCCTTTGGCTCAGGTAATGATCCCAGGACCCTGGGATCGAGCCCCGTATCGTGCTCCCTGCTCAGCAAGGAAGTCTGCTTCTCCCTCTCCCTCAGCCCCTCCCCACCCCAGCTGGTGCACTCTCACAAATAAATAAATAAAATCTTTAAAAATAGATATATAAACCCGATCAAAAGAGTACACTCTTTCCATGACTCACTATTGCGTTTAGGATAAAATCTAGACTCTTTTCCATGGCCTGCAAGACTTCACATGATCTAACCAGGCTAGTACAGCATCAAAGGAGGAAACCTGCAACAAGGGGGACAGGATGACCAGACAGAAATACTGCAAAGTCCAGAATACAGGAGGAATTATGCCACTGGATTTAATAATAAAGCTATTCATGGGTGGGCTGCAAGAGTAGCGGGAATGGAGGCCACATAATGGGGGGGGTGGTCACGGGAGTGATGGGAAGGGACGAGAGGGAGGTGGTCGGTGAAAGCATTTGTTTGAAAAATGAGGAGACAGCAGGAGTCGGGTGCCAGGTTCACAACAGCATACACATAGGAAATTGGAGAAAAGGCAGGGGAGAGGCGGGGACAGTAAACTTCAGAAAGACCAGGTAGGATGATGTCAGAGGCACAGGTGAAATGATTGGCCGCGTGACAATTTTCTCGGCGGGCTAAGCCAGTAACCGTGAGCAGAGAGAGAGGGCCACATACCGGGGTGTCACACTCGGTGCAGTTCTGGTACTCGGATTTCATTCTTTTGGCTACATCGGTGGCTGGAACTCCTTCTGAAGGAAGATAGGCCCGGCAATAAGGACAGGTCCATTTATTGTTCTTCAGACTGGTAGCGATACAGGAACGGCAGAATCTGCCCCAACCAAACCAAGAATACGTTACTTTCCTTTAAGGTATAAGGGAGCCAGCACTGTGTGTCCCTCTGTGTAAAGTGTATTTTAATGACACCTTGTACACTAGGAGCTGGCTGTACTGCCAAGTTGAAAGTGCATTTGCATCCTCTACTTGGCAGAGAGCTTCTTACCTTCCCAGTAAGACTGCTTTGGAGTCACACGTTCTCACTACACTCACTGCGTGCATTTGAACAGAGGGCACAAAGTGATGAAAAGAGTATTCCTATAAGCCGAATTAAAACTATAACCCAAAGGACAGCTAATGTGTTCTTTCTTTTCTCTAATCCTATTTTACCCCAAATGTGGGGTGGGGGGGAATAGGTCTTTGCTCTGTGTGATTTTGTATGTGAGATAAGAAAATAGCAAGAAATCCAGGAGGCAAAATACCATGCATGTGATCAGCCTTACAAAATAATTTTAATGTCATCCCCAGGTATAGAAAATTATCTAATCAAAATGAGCACCATTAGGAATGTCCTCCAGGTCAAGAAATTTATTCTCTGGTTTATTTAAAGATGATCATAATAAAATCTTAACATAATCAATAGAATTCACAGAAAATCTGGACCTGTTTATAGGAGCTGTTGAAGACTAAGTACACACAAAAGTAAAAATGACATTTAGATAAGTTATACACATTAGCGTGGCCTGATAGCTCTTAAAGTGCTCACCATATACTATTTGGGAATATTAATTTATGGCAAAAGTTAAGCTTTTTAAAATCTAAATATACTGGGGCGCCTGGGTGGCTTAGTCGGTTTAAGCATCTGCCTTTGGCTTAGGTCATGATCTCAGGGTCCCGGGATCGAGTCCCACATTGAGCTCCATGCTCAGCAGGGAGTCTGCTTCTCCCTCTCCCTCTGCCCCTTCCCACCCCTTGCTCTCTTTCTCTGTCTCAAATAAATAAATAAAATCTTTTTTAAAAATTTAAATATATATATAGAGAGAGAAGTTCACATTAGCATAGGTATAGAGTTCATTGAAATTTTCCAAACTGAACTCTCAATTATATTAGCCATGACTGATGCTTAAGAGAACTCTCTTCTGCATCTGTTACAAAATTCTTATACACACAGAGGATGCTGACACCTGCATTGTTCTTGAGGCATCTGCTTGATGTTTATGCCGGTCCAGCATCCACTTCCTCTTGCAAATAGCACCCTGATTTCACTCTGCAGGAACTACACCTCTTATATGAGATACAATCTGGTGGGACCTCAGTCAAGGTGCCCACAGTCCGCTGTTGAAGACAAGAGCTGAGTCCTATGCTGTATTTCACTTCTCTGTGCTTCAAGTGATTACCTGCAAGTTCCAAGACCCAATCTGCCCTTGCATTTCTTTGAGACCCTAAGAAGTGGTTCTCAGAGTGTACTCTTGAAGGGTATTTATTACAAGTGGTCCAAATGGTCAAGCTGTAATCCTCATACAACATTTAGGGTTCTGACATGAATTATTCGTTTACATGATTTAGGAGCAAGCAGATGATACTTTGCTATCTCGGTCAACAAAAGTCTTCCCCTTTCCTCACAACTTACTTGAGTTTTATACCAATACAAACAGAAGACGAATATTGGTGTTGAGCCCTGTGGTGGGCATTGATCGACATGCTCTTGTTTAGCTCTCAGAGTAATCCTAACATGCTGCTCTGCTCTCTCCTCCCTTGACTGGAGGCAAACAGAGGTTCAGAGACATGTAACAACTTGCCGAATTTACACAGCCTGAAGACAGTAGTACTTTGCACCTCAAACAGTTTTGGAAGGAGCTCAAAGTATGCGTGTAAGGTCCCCAATTACCCCAATGGTTCCACTTATTATTTTTTGACTTTACAGTGATGTAAAAGCAATACTCATTCAGGAGAAAATATACTTCAAATTTTGAATTTTGAGCTTTTCCCGGTAGGCAGGAAATCCTCTCCTTGCTGCGCTGGGCAGCTCGCAGTCAGCAATGCAGATAAACAACTGATACACTTACAATCATTCTGTACCCAGACAACCATTCTGTTGTCCACTTTCAGTACAGTATTCAATAAATGACACAAAATATTCAACACTTTTATTACAAAATAGGCTTTGTGTTAGATGATTTTGCCTGTGAGCTAACGTAAGTGTACTGAGCATATTTAAGGCAGACTAACTAAGCTATGATGTTTGGTAGGTTAGGTGTACTAAATGCGTTTTGACTTACTTTTTAGAATGGACTTATTGGGACATAACCCCACTGTGAGTCAAGAAAGATCTGTAGTCCTTTTTAAGTCACCTCAATTCCTCCCAGTGACAAACAGAAGCAGCAAAACTATAAAACTATGGATGTACCTGTAAAACCAGCCAACTTTGCACAGAGTACATTTCTACTGTCATTTTGTAGTGCTTTTGCACTTACAACTGACAACTATAACAATGGAAATGCCTAGTAGATATACATGAAAAGTAGCACACTCAAGGCATTTAAAAAAAAATCAAGTCCCTCACTGTAACTCCCTTATGTTTGCACAATGATGTTACATGTGGCATGAAACTCTCAAATGAGCATTAGACAGACATTATTGCATTCTATGAGAATATTAGTTGCAAATCACATAGATCAATTAGCTGTACCCATTTTAACAAAAGTGATTATTAAATGGAGAAAACACATCAAGACTAAGGTGTTTTGGGACAGACCGAACTTGCTGGTTTTGAGTACATAAAAACCATGATTTTTTAAAGTTTTTTTTTTTTTAATGTTTTATTTATTTATTCATGAGAGTCAGAGAGAGAGAGAGAGAG